AGTTGTTGTTTAAAGAAGTGAACTGCAGTAAATAATTAACATTTAAATGTTGTCTGCTAAAATGGATTAAGTCGCTTTAAAAGGCGCACGAAGAGAGAAGTGAGCGGATTCCTCACTTTCTTCTTTTATAAGGCCTCATAGCTTGATTTGTTGGTGCGTGTTCCACTTCCAAATTCATCTATGCTATTAAATCTCCCTGGGTACCGAGCTTAGAGTAGCTAACTAATGCTTGTGGCCATTTAATTCACTAAAACTAGTGAACTTGAGACGCGGTGCTCAAAGAGAGTGTCCTAACGTTGTTTATGGGAGAATTGAATCTTGATCAAGTGTAAGTAAAAATCTACGTGTGTTTTTGTCTGTCAAATAGACTGACAAAGTGCTTAGGTCCGTCAAGGCCTCAATAACGCTGTTGTATTAATAATTAATCTGTAGATTAATTTACCTCGCTCTAAGCGAGTGAGTTGTGTTTGGTCAGCGCTATAAGAAAAGAAAAGATAAGAATCTAAATAGTGCTTTTGGTGGTTCAGAGTGAAATGCGCTGACGTTTCACTGACTACCCGTAACTGTGTTTAAGCTCACATGCTCGCTTATGCTGTGTATGTCACCATAGCAACAGCCGTAACCCAGGAAGTTCTCAGAGACTTTTTCTGGGATAACCTTCAAGTGCGCAAGCGCAGCCCGCCGGCACCATTTTTGAGCTGTTGTAAACAAATAGCCTAGCATGAGCTAAGCTAACTGAAGCTAATGAGTTTGCATTGAAGCCTATGCAGAGCTATTAGCATTGAAGGCTAGCAGGTAGCATTCGGTAGCATCTTGTGGTCTTGAATGCAGTGTTTTGAAATGTTGAAGTGATCGAAGCTTTTGTATCTGAACTTTTATCTGAACTCACACTAGTGGGTTCTTTCACCTCATCTCTCTCTTTTACACTTATCCATCTTATCTCTCTTCTCCTCTCCTCCCATCGAAAAGAATGTTGACAGATGCAATCTTAATAAACCTTGTGGTATATTGTAACTAATCATCAGAAGCGGCTAGCGATCTCACAGGTGGTTTTAATAACCTTTGTTTAAGGTTGGTCTTTCCCCTTTTAGCTGGTATCAGTTTAAACTGCCACAGCTATTGGATTTTATTAGCAATTAATCATGGTTTTCGCCCCAGTTCTTTAAGGACAATTTCTGATTAATTCAATTATAAATTGCTCTTATGATTTCAATGACATCAGTAAGATGTTAGGAACTTGCTATCCTTAGGGATTTGAAAGGTTTTAATTTAATTTAATAATTAATTACAGATTTGAAATTTTAATTTCATTTAATAATTAATTACAGTTCCTGTTTCCATATTGCAACAATATTTGCTGATCAGTTCAATTGTAATTGCTCTGATAATTTTAATGACAAACATCATTGGGTTTTGATCATTAACTATCATTATTGCCCTGAAATTTTAATTTTAGCATTGGTTAATTGGGGTTTGGGCTTCCCTTCTTCAATGATACTTATTGAATTTCAACTCAATTATAATTGCTCTTATCAATTTTAATGATGACATAATAAAATTTTAATGATTAACTATCATTTCTAATTTTGAAAAAAATCGTAAAAAACATTACATAATGTGTTTATGCTTCAGTTACTATGTGTCAGCAATTATTGACAGTGAATCTGGTTATGGAATTGAATAGGTCTAAGTGTAAGCTTTCATTAGAGCCAAAATTATGACTGTACATTAAAGCATTCAAGAATTTTATGTGTCATTTGTTACAAAGGGTCATTTGGAGCCTCCAAGTGGCTTTTTTTGGAAAGCGCCTAGACATAAATTTAGATAAACATGTGCAAAACACTCATTTTCTAAGGTATTGTTATCAAATTTGAAACATTTTGCTTGGTAAGACTTTATTCTGTGATCCAAATGTATTTTCCAGCTAATAGCTCCCAGCTATAATCATCTGCAGGCATCTGTTTATAAAAAATATTACAAAATGTCAGTGTGTTCCAAGTTCTATTACTCAATACCAATAAGACTTACAGTGATTCTGAGGAACACACCTCAGAGTGTCACCTTTCAAAAGAGACCAGAACCATGTATGTACTCCAAATGGTTCAAGAGCAGCATGCAATTTACTTTGGGTATGCCTTTTTTAGGCGTTTTAGGCAAATTTTACAGGAACGGTAAAGGGTTAATAACCTGATACAGCTCCAGTGTGCCGCCCGCGGTACACTGCATGCTTTGAAGGTTAACTTAGTGAAACACACACACACAAAAAAAGGTAAACGTGTCATATATCTTTGGAAAGCTATATAATTATATTTATATATATTTTACATATAATTATGTATATTATACATTTTACTGTATATATTGAGGTATGTGTTTGTGGTGTTCTTGCTAACTTCTGTCTTGTGAGTGTGTGTGTGTGTGTCAAATCTCTTTATTGTCACACATCGTGTACACAAGTGTAACGATGGTGAAATTCTTGGGTACAAGACTCTGTGCCATGGCAGTACAAGCAACAAGATATGAAAAATTAACAGCATACATAAATAACAATATACACATTTTACACAATATCAAATTTTTTCACAATATACAATAGACAATTGTACACAATATACACATTTCCATAATATACACATAGTACACAGTATACTCAAGAGACTTAACTCAGCTAAAATTTTATAGGTTTTTCCCTCTGCTTAAGCCTGTTAGTAGATAGCGCTCCCCCTAGTGCTTGGTTGGTGAAGTGACATTGTCTCCACTGTGGGTCACAGCAAGCAGAGTCACCTGTTCCGACGTAACCTGGTGTGGGCTGGGGGAAAACCGAATACCTCCATCCTAGTACTGCAAAGTGAAGGCACGCAGTGAGGCATCAGCAATCGGGCATCGGAGGATTCAACAAAGGCTAACTGGGCGAAGGTGCGGATATACCACCCCGGCCAGCTATTGACGAGGTACGTCGGACTTCGAGTCCGCGCTGACGGATAGCACCCAGGATATAGCCCCGCCCATTTTCAGGCCAGCAGTCATTGAGGTGCCTCACCCGAGGGCTGCCCGGTTGTGCCAAAAGCCATAGCTGTTTGAGAAGCTCACTGCAATACGACGGGGACAGAGAATTTGGTAACCTTACAGGAATTCACTCGGTGCGCTCGGACGGTGGGCCATGCTGCTGGGTTTCGCTGGACCAATTTAATTTCTCACCAAGCCTAGGGTATAAAACATTAACCCTCCAATTAGCAAAACCCCAAAAGAAAGTTAGTTTTTAGTTCCTCAAAACTTAGGTCAGCTTGTTTTATCTTCCTAAAACAGCAAAACCAAACCCCTAAGTGTATCAACTCAACAGCGCCACCACAATGTCAACCTTGTTATTCGTTCTAACATTGAGAACAAATCCTCACTCTCCTTCTTCTTCTCTGTCTCTCTGCTGCTTTCTTCTAATTTGACTACTGCGGCTGTATGCTGGGATTTTGCCTGTGGAGAAATCATAAGGCAGATAACTTTAGCAATTGAATAGATATTTGTGAAACTTGAGAACATCGGTTCAAAATTGTCTTCCATTTACCTTCCACTCTCTTGTGAAACCCTACCCAGCCAAGTCTAAAGCAGGTCAACGAGAAGGTAGGTGTCGGCAAAATTTTAAACACACACGAAGAAAACTCTAATTAGTTTATGGTGTCTATCTTGCCATTGAGATAACAATACTGTCATTGCTGTTGTTTTCCTTCACCCCGGAGGAAATTTTAATAGCAATCACAGTTTTATTACATAAAAAAATCCCCATTTACAATCTTCTGTCCAGAAGCATCCAGCTATTACCTTGTTCTTTGCTCTGTTGGTGTTCTACTTTTCTTTCTCTGTTCTCTAGCTGTGCTACCTGTGTGTGTGCTCAGTAATTTTCTCCACAGAGACTACAAATTAGAAGCACGCCCACTAGAGGATCACAATCGCAGAGAACCACACTCACCTGCTCATTACACACTCAACATCAGCACACACTTTACATTGCACATTTACACCTCTGTTTTGCTTTTCTCCACAGAGACTACAAATTAGAAGCACGCCCACTAGAGGATCACAATCGCAGAGAACCACACTCACCTGCTCATTACACACTCAACATCAGCACACACTTTACATTGCACATTTACACCCCTGTTTTGTTTGCTTGTTTTGTTTTGTTTTTTTGTCCTCTTCAAGGTCTGTGTCAGTCTCGGTTCTAGATTTCCCTCATCGTGTCAAAACACGTCTCGCACAACAGACTCTGTTGGCCACTGGGAGGACCTCGAGACATGGCTAAGTGTTGCAACAGACAGCCTCCTACCTAAGGCTGCTGAAACACTGAAGCATCAGACACAGGACCAGCTGGATGACAACATAACAAGCCTTATGAGACAAGACCCAAGTCAGAGCTACAGTCACAAAGAACTAGCCAAGATCACTGGCTCCTTAAGCCACACACTCATCGCCACCCTCAAGCTGAGCGACAGGCACGCCGCCCATATCCAGCAGGAGCTGACATGTGCACAGCGACACATCGAGCAGCTAGAACTGGAGGCTCAGGAACGACGGGAAGGGTCTGATGAGGTGGAACAAGGCACCGAGGAAGAGATCAACAGGCTAAAAGAGACCCTAGCAGCTACTACCAAAGAAATTAAACAAGTCAAGGCAGACTATGCTGATCGCTCTAACAAGTTACAGTATGCAGAACAGCTACTGGAAAAGGCAAAGGCTGACTTCAGAGACAAGAACAGCAGAATCAAAGCCCTTGAAACTCACCTGGATGAGTCAAGAAACGAGATCAGCCGCCTAACACGACAGCACGACTACATTAAAGAGGAATCCGATAGTTTCAGAGAGGAACTCAAACACGCCTACAAATTGCGCCGTGAGCCGTCGAGGACACGACGGGCACCGACCTCACCCCTGCCGAGCAGGACCGGGTCACCTGTTCCTGGACTGATGCGTGAGCAAAAGGAGGAGGGGGCAGTGCTGAAACATTCACCAGCTACCTCTGAGGAACTTTACCTCACGACAAAGCTAAAAGAACCTGCTGCAGCCAGCCGCAGATCATCGCACGGCTTGGACCTAAAAGACCTCGACAAGCTTGCTAGGAACATTGGCAAATTCACCCCAAGTGTGCCAGGTAGCCAGGATGTCCAAGCTTATCTGCAAGACGTCGATTTCCATCTGGAAATGAGACCCAATGTCACTGACAAAGATAGACTCTATTTGCTCCGAACAAC